GTTTCCAGTTTTGGACCTAATCGCTTTTTAATAGTACGTTTAGTTGTTTTAATTTTACGTGGCTTACCATCGTCAGTAGGAACCTCCTCTTCTTTGATCTCTTCTGGAAGCTCAAGCACTTGTGGGATCTCAGGGAGCTCTTCGAAGTCTGGAGCAGGTTCTTCTTTCACGACAATACTGGTGACGGGTTCTTCGCCTTCCTTTTCAATCGTTGTTATCTCAGTTACTTCTTTCTTGGGCCCTTTACGCTTTTTAATCACTCGCTTGATTGTCTTCACCTGCTGCGTTTCACCACTTTCCGTTTTCACTTGTTCAATCTGTACTTGTTCGGGTTCTTCTTCAATCACTTTAGCTCGTTGTGGTTCTTGTAAAGTGTCAAGTGGAGATGTAGTGTCATCGAGTGTTTCCTCTGTTGTGTGTACTGTAACGAACGGTGTTTCGTCATCTATTTGTGTTGAAGTGATTTCTGTTGTTTCGAGTTTTGGACCTAATTGTTTTTTAATGGTACGTTTGGTTGTTTTAATTTTACGTGGCTTACCATCGTCAGTAGGAACCTCCACTTCTTTGGTCTCTTCCGGAAGCTCTAGCACTTGTGGGACTTCAGGGATCTCCTCAAAATCTGGAGCAGGTTCTTCTTTCACGACAATACTGGTGACGGGTTCTTCGCCTTCCTTTTCAATCGTTGTTATCTCAGTTACTTCTTTCTTGGGTCCTTTATGCTTTTTAATCACTCGCTTGATTGTCTTCACCTGCTGCGTTTCACCACTTTCCGTCTTCACTTGATCAATCTGTACTTGTTCGGGTTCTTCTTCGATCACTTTACCTTGTTGTGGTTCTTGTAATGTGTCATTTTGTGTGTCGTGTAAAGTGTCAAGTGGAGATGTAGTGTCATCGAGTGTTTCCTCTGTTGTGTGCACTGTAACGATTGGTGTTTCGTCATCTATTTGTGTTGATGTGATTTCTGTTGTTTCGAGTTTTGGACCTAATTGTTTTTTAATAGTACGTTTAGTGGTTTTAATTTTACGTGGCTTACCATCGTCAGTAGGAACCTCCTCTTCTTTGGTCTCTTCCGGAAGCTCAAGCACTTGTGGGACTTCAGGGATCTCCTCAAAATCTGGAGCAGGTTCTTCTTTCACGACAATACTGGTGACGGGTTCTTCGCCTTCTTTTTCAATCGTTGTTATCTCAGTTACTTCTTTCTTGGGCCCTTTACGCTTTTTAATCACTCGCTTGATTGTCTTCACCTGCTGCGTTTCACCACTTTCTGTCTTCACTTGATCAATCTGTACTTGTT